GGGGCTGGGACCAAGGTAGTGGGCTCTCCTCTCTGCAGCAGGGTGGGACTGAGGACCCTCCTCACAGTCCTCCGGACCCTGGCCTCACCCTCCTCCTCACCTCCCACCTTCACTCTCCTCCCCTCCCAGGCTACAGGTTTCTGCTCCAACCCCCTCTCTGGATGAGCTGTGGCCCCCATCTGCCCACTGCTGGCTTCATCTGCCCTTCTGGATGCCTGAAGCCCCTTCCCCTACGTGCCTGCTCCCCCTGGAAAGGGGGCAAAGCATGGAGATGTGTGGAGGCCAGACTCCTCCTCAGGTCTCTGCTGAGGGATTGGACCAGGACAGCTGCCCTCTGAGCACCCTCCCTGGGGCACAGCCCCCAGGAATGCCCACCCTGGAGAAGATGCGTTAGATCATAACGGTTATAAGTGTAAAACCCAACAGCCACCACTGTTTTGTGCTTTATGATCTTACATACTTTCCCAGCAATTCTATAAGGTAAGCACCATTGTCACCACCTTTTTACAGATAGGTAAACTGAAGCACAGAGAGGTGAAGTAACGTGTCCAAGATCAAACAGTTAACAAAAGGCAAAGCTACTTTTGTTTTTATATGTAAAACTTAGGGACTCTTTAAAAAGAAAACATAAAATCACAATGATATTCTCACACCTAGCATGTTATCAGTGATTTCTGAATAAGTATCCTGGCCAGGGCCTCACACACAGAAGTCAGGATTTGGGCCCTTGGCTCACGCCACCCTGCCTCTCTGTGCAGGTGGGACAGGCACAGGTACACCTGTCCCAGCTCAGACCTGGGCGCTACACCTGTAACCTAGGCCCCGCCTCTCAGATGCTGCAGGAATGACTCTGCATTTGGGCGACCCCAGACCTCACGGATGGAGAGGTGGAACACAGGGTCATCGTTACCTCGACATGTGTTCTCACTCTCATTCCTGAATGTTGGTGCCCCAGAAACAAGCGCATATCCTGGGATGCACGTGCAGTAGTAGCTCCCTTCTGTGTTCTTGCAGTCTGCCGATTGTCCACAGGACACTGTCGAGGGTGGTCCACACTCATTGATGTCTGGAACACAACAGGGCAAAGGGTCACCTTCCAAAGGCATGAGTTCCCTCAAGGCAGAGATCCCCATCCCCTACGTGACTCCTCAGCATTGGATCTGATGCTTAATCAGTGTCGTTTTGGAAAGAATTAGACTCCCAGGCAAAACTGCAGAGGCTGGGCTGCACCTGGAGCAAGCCATTCCTGAAGCTGTGAAATCTGCTCTTCTTGGCCCTCTGGATTTGGACACAGTGAGAAGTGCTGAAGTCAGGGGTGGTGGAAGGTCTGAATCCCCCTCCCCAGTCCTGCAAGGACAAACTGAGGCACAGACTGCTGGAGTCTCAGTTCCTCTCTCCCCAGGGAGCCATGCTTATTCACCTCTTATCTCTCCACTTTCATAGTTTTCCTTCCTCCTTTCTCTGTCCTTGATGACAATTCTGAGGACAAAGGGTGAGGTCCCCAACCAATACTCATGTCCCCCACAGTCACTGCGTTGTACCCCACAAGCTCTGCAGGTCCGTCCACCACCCCCAAGTCTCTGTACCATCACAACTCTCCAAGAGGCTGGTGAAGATCTCTGAACCAGATGAAGAACTGAATCCCGGAAGGCAGCGACAGGAGGTACCGTCGACACATGAGGAGTTCGGAGGGCACCACCGAGCACAGGCTGCGGGGGCAGAGACCTTGGTCAGAACATGAGGGCTGAGCCAGGGGCTGGACAGCGGGGCAGGATCATCGCTAGAGAAAGGGGTGTTGGGGGCCTCTCTCTTGTTTGGGCTGAGGGGTGTGAGTGGTGGTTTAGGGCCCCTTCCCCAGGCCCCGGCTGTGGACTGAGTTGCTCCCAGCAGACTCACCCGTGGAGTTCTGGGATCCAGCTTCTGGTAGAGTCAGCAAGACACACAGAACTGGAACAGAGAGAGGGAGGCTCAGGGGGGACGCTGGAGCAGAGAAGGGTAGATTGGGTCTTACGGGTGATGAAACCAAGAGAAAGAGGCTATTGACCGCTCCCAGGCTTGAGGTCTGTCCACTGCTCAAGGAGAGAGTGAGTAGATGGCATCTCCCTGGGATATGACACCTACGGCCAGAGGGTCTGCCACCTGTCATCTGCGGGTGGGTTTCAGAAACCGAATGGGAAAGGGGGCCCAAGCATCATGGCAGTTCTGGCTCCTGCTGACTGTGGGCTGGGTGGGCACCAGTTCAGTAAACAGACTGGAGCCACGTGGCCCCAGTTCAAATCCTGGCTCTCAGAGTCTCAGTTTTCCCTTCTGTAGAATGGGGATGGCCATGGGACCCATTTCCTAGAGCAGTGTGTGAATTAAGCTTGCAAATATCACCTGGTGTGTCAAAGCGTTTACTGTCATCACATCATCGTGTCTTTATATAAGAATGAGGGTGTTGAACCAGGTGTTTTCTTAGCTAACTGCCCCCCAAAGCCAAGATCCTCTGGCTCCCCACCCTTCCTTGGGGACCCAGGTGCATGCACACCACACCCACAACATCTGTCAGCCCCGATGGCCATCCCGGGACCCGGTGGTGACATTTCACCTCAGGCTCTCTGTGCACAGGAAGACGCTGTGGGTTCACTCTGGGGTGGTATTGACGGAGTCCTCCTCCCCTGAAGTTCCTGCCGCTCAGGGGCACCCTACCCTCAGGGCATGATTTTGGGGGGGCCTCTTCAAGTTATCGGGGGCCTTAGAGATGCGGATCTCCACATTGCTCACCAGAGAGAGAGAGAAGACAAGAGATGGAGAGAAAATAGAGAAGAGAAACAGGGAGAAAGACAAGGAGACAGGCAGACAGAGGGAGAGAAACAGGCTGAAGTTAATACAGGGATAGCGAGAGATGAACAGAGAAATAGGGAACTCAAAGAGACAGAAACGGCAGAGATTGGACAGAGAAACACAGAGATACAGAGATTGAGAGTGACGTAGAGAAAAACAATTAGAACAATTAGAAAGAGGGGGTGGAAACAGGGGAAGGGAGTGAGGGAGAGCAGCTCAGTAGCAGGTAGAGGTGTGGAGAGAGCCTGGGGGAGGCATCCAGTCCCTGCCCATCTGGGAATTCTAGGGGGCAGCACAGACCCCAATGATCCAGAAAGACCCCAAAGAGGATAGTGGGAGGAGGGATGGGGGCCAGGAGGAGGAAGGGCAGGCATGAGTCACTTCCTGGGCCAAGGGAAGGGATTACTCATGGCTGGTTGCCCCCGGAGGAAGCTCCCAGGGGAATTCTGGGGGGCTTTCATTGTGAGCAGGCTTGAGGGGCTCTGGGGTGGTGTGCAGACTGGAGGGTCCCCTGACCACTCAGCCCTTAGCTCCAAATGATATCCCTCTGGCCGGCAGAAAGCAGAGGCACCCTCCCAGAAGCCCTCCCAGCCAGGGTAAACTGAGGTCAGAATGCCTTCCCCTCCCTTGGGTGAGGATTTCTCTCTTCTTCCTCTCTGGCCACAGAGCTTGGCTAGTTTTCCCCTCGGCCAGGGCACAGTTCCTCTTTGCAGGACAGACCGCAGAATGACATTCCCTGGCAGGATAGGACCTGAGCTGGTTCGTCCCCGGCTCCCAAAGTCTCCAACAGCCACTTTCATGCTCACAACTGCCTTAGGAGGCAGGCTCCGTGTCCATTTTACAGATAGACAGACTGAGGCTTGGCACCCAGAAAAGGCTCAGGAGGAATCTGGTGAACAGAAGCGCCTGGAGAAGATGGACTTGAGGGGTCAAGTTCTCCAGACCCTGCAGGGGAGTGGGAGGGCTCTTTTGTGGGCTGGGTTTTTCTCCCCTACCACGGAGGCTCCTGGGCCAGGCTTTTTCCAGCTGGATCCTTGGAAGTCACCCAAACAGGAGCCTGGAGAGGAGCTGCTGGTCATTTACTCCCAGCCCCATCTGGTTTGCATTCCCCCTGCGGAGCCCTGAGCAGTAAGATTTCTGGGGTGGGGGTGGGGCAGTCATTTTCTCCTTGCTCCTCCTGCTAAGGACCCCCCACTGCATCCCCCAGACTTGCCAGTGAAATAACAGTAGTAGTAGTAGTAGTAGTAGTATAATAATAATAATAATAATAATAATAATAATAAAATAATAATAATAATAATAAATATTGTTTACTTAATTCCTCCTGAGAACCAGGAATAATTTCTATACGAACTCCATTTTACAGATGTGGAAAGTGAGACTCAGGGGCCCTGAGATTTGGCTCCAGTGACACACTGTCCCCCATCAGGTGTGTCCCACGCAGACTCCTGTTTCTTGCTTCTGAGAGTCCTGGGAGGCCATTGAGCTCACGCCTGCCACCCTGGCAGGCACGGGGAACCCTGTCCCTGAGGCCCCAGGAAGCTCTGGTTGGTACCTCAAATGCCATTTCTACATTCTCTTTGTTTCTTGGTTGCTCAGGCAACGAGCTGCCCTGATAACCGTTGGAGCCACCCTGGGTGGGGCAGGCAGGGAGGCCCTGGGGAAGTTACAGTAGAAGTCAAGTTCAAACCTGGAGCCGGCAAATCCTTTCCACCCACAGCTGAGTTCCAGCTGGGTCTGAGGGAGCAAGACTGTGGGTCTCTGGGGCTGCCCCTGCTACTGAGATGGTGGGGGGGACATGGGAGTACGCCCATAGGGGAGAGGTCCCAGCCCCCCACCCTCCAGCTGCCTAGCACCCCTCCGCCAAATGCCCTATGTCAAGAGCAGCTGTCTGCCAGGTCCCAGCACAAACTTTTGTCCCTCTCCTTCCCCAAACCTCAGTTCCCCTACACCTCCCAAGTGGATCCAGCAGAGAACTCAGATTTCTCTGGGAGGGGGAACAGGCTCTTAGAGCACCCTGGGGGATCGTGCCACGGCATGGGGGTGCCAGCCCCTCTCCCCATGTGCCCTCAGTGCTCGCCTGACCATGTGGCTTTCTCTGAGACCGGCCCCAGAGCCGCCAGCTGCACTTGGCATTTCTCACCAGAGAAGAGGGGGTTGTGGCACTGAACAGTGCTGCCAGGGGTCCCCTTGTCCTCTACCCCAACTCCCTCCCACAGCAGGGCCCCCAAATTCTCACCATGAAAGAAGAGAAAGGACGGAAAGTCACCACTGCGGTGGGGGCCTCCCATGGTCTGAGCAGCCAACGGGGGATGCAGAAGATGGGGCAGGGCTGCTCTGTGTCCCCAGGCTGGGCAGCTGGGCGGGCTTTTCCGAGGCCGCCAGACCTTTATAAAGGGGGGGGGAGGAGCAGCCGGTGGCCCAGGGCCCTCCCCGGAACTGGCGGGGCAGCTGGAAGCCAACAGGAAAATGCAATAAAAACACAGACCCAGGGGCCCTGCACACAGAAACACACACACACACTCACACGTGGTGTTGCGGTACAACCTGCCCTTGGAACGTCTGATCAACTCTCTGGTCCCTGTGGACATGGGCTGGCCTATCCCAGGGGGAAGGGCTGAGTCTAGCCCAGAACCTGCTTGGCTTGTCTGGGTGGGAGGCATTTTGAGGGCTAGGGAGGTGCCACGTCAGAAACAGCTCTCCTCCAGGCGCCTGCCTCGGGGGGTAGGTGGGTGGGATCACCCCATGCTCACTGCCTTGGCTGGCTGTGCTCCAGGGCCAGCCTCTAACAGGACCTTCCTCTTCTGTTTTTCCAAATGGGGAAACCGAGGCACAGAGAGGCCAGAGTCCAAATAGGAGCTGGGGGAGCATGGAGGGGCCCTTTGTGGATGTCCAGCAGACACCAAAGAGAAAAACTGCAGGGCTCCGGGGCACCATCCTCCGGCAGCTGGCCTTTTAGGGCCAGGGTTTCGCTTGATGGGAAACTTACAGTTGGGGGGTTCCTGGGCACTGCGTTAATCAACAGAGAATCACATGATAAGGGAATTGTTTCCTTTTCAAATAAGTCCTATGACTGGCTTGTCTCTGGAGCCATCTAATAATTTTTTTAACATTATTTCTAAAGCACTTAATCTGATCCAGGCTTGGCTCTTGAACTATTTCTTTCTCTATTTTTAACTCATTTCCATCTCGCAATTCCTTAGAGGCAAGTGCTGCTAGGATTCCCATTTTACAGGAGGGGACGCTGAGGCACAGCTAACAAGTGGCTGAGCAGAGATCCGCAGGCAGGCGGCTCAGTCCCCGGGTCCCTGCAATGAGCCCAAGGTCCTGGAGAGCCAATGTCTCTATTAGGTGCTAATGTGTCTTTATCACTTTAGTGGCCCTGAGGTTTATCCAGCTGGAATCCATGCTTTTATGTTCTTTGTGTTATTTTTTCTTTTTAAGTTTATGGACTATTGGTGGGGGGCAAGGAGGAGAGGTTTCCAATGATGACACCAGCATAAAGTTCCCTTGTTTAAAGTCAATGGATTCAAGGATGCAACAGGGTAGAAAATTAAATAAAATATTAAGAATACAATAGTTCAAAAGGAGAGGCTTGTAGTCATGGAAAAAAAGGTCACCAATGGCCAAAGGCAGGGAAGCATTATCCTGGGGATGGTGGAGCAACCCCACTCCTAAAATTAACCTCTTCCTGTCCTTGCTGTGGCTGTGACCTGGACAGGGTGTGGGAAGGGGTCCTGCCAGGGTACCTGAGGGGTCTGTGGGAGGGGAGTGGACATGGGTGGAGACTGGGAAGGGAGGGGGCCAGACCAGGTCCCGGATGGATTTTTTTAATTTATTTTATTTTTAAAACTTATTCATTATTTTTGGGAGGAAGAAATTAGGTTTAATTTATTTTGATGGAGGTACAAGGGATTGAACCCAGGACCCCGTGCATGCCAAGCAGGCACTCTACCACTGACCTATGACCTCCTCCAACCCTGTCCCTGCTGGATTTGTGGCCTTTCTACCAGAAAACTGGAAACCGCAGGGCTGGAGATCACTTCAGGTCCCAGGTCTGACAGCTAGTGCTTGGAAAAGCTGGGGGTGGGGGTTCTAGCCTGGGGGAGCTGCTGGCTGAAGGTTGCAGTCACGCCTTTTCCTCCTGCGGATGTGTCTTGGGCCCTTGGGGTAGGCCTAACCTCTCTGGGACTCAGATTTCCTTTCTGGTGAATGGGATTATAATGCCTTCGTACTGGCCTCACAGAGCAGGGTAAGGAAGGAACCAGTTATGTAGGAGAGAGGGTTTGAGGAAGGCACCCCACTCCCACTCCACCCACCATAATCTGACCTGTCAGCAAGTTCTATGGCTTTGCCTTCAAATAGACCCAGAATCCTTCCACTTCTCCTCTTTATCGGCCCCCATCCTGGTCTAGCCCCATTATCTCCTGCCTTCATGCTCTAGCTCCTACCCTGCACAAACTTTTCCCCCTCCCAGTGGCCCAGGGTGCCCGGGAATGCTGGAGTCACATCCCTCCTCTGCTCAAGAACCCTCCATGGCTCCCACCTCATTCAGGGTAAACCCCCACGTCCTCCCTCAGCCCACAAGACCCTGCCTGCTCTGCCCTGTCACCTCCTTGCCCTCACTTCCTCCCACTCTCCCCTCAGTCACTTAGCTACAGTTTTCCTTATGGAAAACCCCAGGCATGGTCTGACCTCAGGGCCTTTGCACAGGCTGTTGCCTCTGCCCGGAGCACTCTTATCCCACATAAACTCAGAGTTCCCTCCCTCCTTTCCAGGTTTTTGCCCAAGCATTTCCTGACCTACCCTTCTGCCCCCACATCATAAATTTAATCCTCTCTCATCCCCACTCTCCCAAATACTCCCTACTTTCTCCATTCTCTGTAGTCCTTCACCATCCCCCCAACCCCACTAGACATTCAGCGCAGAGCCTGCACCCAGTAGGGCTTCAGAATTAGTAATACCACCTCCCACTGACGGAAATCCCCTACAGGCTTCCTGATCTGCCCCTGCTGAGGGGTCAACAGTCTTCCTCCCTCTCCCCTCTGCCCTGAAGTTCCAGCCCCACAGCTCCTGGACAATCTTGTAACCTCTGTTCCACAAGGCGGGGACATGGGTCTCCATCCCTCAGATGGGAAAGCAGGCCCTGGTCAGGGAGGCTGGGTCGCTGACCCGAGATTCCTCAGCTGGGAAGTTGCTCATCCAGGACTAGTCACTGATAATCATGATAGTATTATTTTATTTATTTATTTATTTATTTATTGTTAATTTGGTGGGGGGGTATATTTTTTTTATTTTATATGCTCCAAAACATTTTACTTGGAAATTTTCACTAGAAGTAAGAAAACCAAAAACAGCATGGACCAGCAGCATGAATACATAATGCACAATTTGTGGGTATATCAAATGTATGTTAATGTAATGCTTCCATAACATGATAGCATTATTAATGCTATTATATTTTTATTTTTATGATTATAGTTGCAACGGTAACAGATCATCACGGGGCGTGGCCACGTTCATCCAGCGCCTGGCCTCCTTCTAAGCACCTCACAGGGGTTGAACTCAGCTGTCTGGTAGCCCTTGAAGGCAGGTGTTGTGATTTCCATTTGACAGGTGGGGACACTGAGGCACGGAGTAGTGAAATGAGGGCACAGTCACAGGGCACCCCCATCTCATATCAGAGGTGCTGGGCAAACCCAGTCTCCTCCTATTTTGGACCGTGTGGTCTCAGGTGGGTGATGTGACCTCTCTGGGCCTCCATTTCCCCACCTGTGAAATGGTCAGAACCCTGCCAGGGGGGCCAGTGAGGATCATTAAGAAGTGAATGAGCTGGAAGCAGGTGCTTTAATAGCAGAGGTTGTTAGGATGATCCCCGTGTTCACTGCCCTCTGTGGTGGGGAGGGTGATGAGGGGACCGTAATGTCTTGCCCCCTGGCTTCTTGTGCCACAAACCCAAGCCCAGGACCCTTGCAAGCCCAGGCTGAGGCAGGGGGTCAGATGGGGTCTTCGGGCGGTGGGGGGCGCGTAACAGGAAGCCCCCTGGTTGGGAGACAATGGCAGAGGAAGAGGCCGGCTGGCCCCCACGCGGATGAGCCCAGCTGCTGGCTCCAAGAGGGCGGCACAGCTATTGTGAGGCCAGACAGCTGTCCCTGCGCCAGGAAACCCCAAGGAGTGAGGGAAGGGGGTGGCCAGCCCTGACCCTCAAACTTGGGGCAGGCCTAACAATGGACCATTGTCTCCTCCTGCAGGATGGACACCTGGGTTCCCTTGAGGCCAGGCCTCCAGGGTCTACCTGACCAGGGGCTCCTCCGGTAGGCCCCGCCCAACCCCAGCTGGCATCCCCTAATCCCTGGCCCCCACCTAGCCCTGCCCAGCCTGGGCAGCTGGGAGGCGGCCACTGCGCTGAGCCATATTTATAGCTCCCTGGGCTGCTGAGCAAACCCCTAAATATAGAAGCTGAACTATTTGGGGCCTTGGCCCTGGGCAGAGGAGGGGCAGGACATCACACATGTGCTTTTTAGCCTGGGCTCCCAAGACTGCCGACCTCTCAGTCTCCTGGAGCTAGGGCCATGGGGGTCTCAGGGTCACTCTGTAACCCCATCTGAATGGAAGTACAGAGAGACATGTGGCAGAGGAGCCCAAAGCAAATGAGAGCTGAAGCAAGAGGCTGGGATGCCTCAGAGGGGTGCACTGAGGGCCGAGGAGAGGACACAGGGTCCCAGTGCCCTGTTCAATTTCCTCCCTCTCAACTGCCACCGACTGAGGTAAGGAAAGTGGGTTGAGCCATCACCTGAGTGTTCTCAGCTTCTAGGAAATGGAGGCTTTCAGGAAGTGCAGGGGCACCCCCAAACCCCAAACAAACCCCAGCACCTAGCAACCCACTTCCCCTTTCCCATGGGCACTGATCTCACTGGTGGCCCCAGGAAGTGGGTAGTGACGAGAGGGCTGGGGAGGTGGGGCTATAAATAGCCAGTTTATAAGCAGCTGCAGGGACCCCAGGACAGGGGTTGGCCCCAGGTCAGAGAGGGCTTCAGGGGTAGCTAAACCCCAAAATGTCCCCAGCTTCACCCCCTCCTAGGGATCCCCAAGATTTGGGGACGTAAGGGAGAACAGAGGGGGCGAGTTGCTTAAAAGGAGCAACACTAATGATTCTTTAAGGGAGCAATCAACATCATGGCTGTTAAAACTTTAATGGAACCTTGGTTGGGGAGCATATAGCTCAACAGTAGAGCATATGCTTAGCGTGTACGAGGTCCTGGGTTCAATCCCCAGTACTTCCATTAACAATAAAAAAAGACCTTAATGGAATCTTAATGCTTCCTTAGCAGCAACTGGGTAAAGTGAGTGGAATATCACACAGCTGTGAATAAGAGAATACCAAGGGCAGCC